ATATATATATATATAAAACGTAATAAACAATTCCGACAAATTGAATATCAAATTGATTGACATTTTCTCTTTTCCCTCCTTCAAGACGAGTACAATCTAAATCCTGGTTTAGAATGGGAGGACGAGTTCACAGGTAGGTACTTTCTCTCTAGAGACGGTTTACTTTACCTAATTATTTCACAAACATGTCCATAATTCTACCTTATACTTTCACAAAGTAATTGCGCCTAAAAATAATTTCGTCACGTAATTTGTCGTCTTTATCTTATCTATGCACTGAAGGGAAGAAATCACCCCTAGCATTTATAAATTGCTTAATTTGTTTTATTGATTTGTTTTATTTTATATATATTTTTTATTACATTTCTCTTTACGCAATCTAGATAAGTTTGCTTTATTGCGCATGCAAAAATATTTTATATTGTTATTTTTTTAAAATAACTTTAATTTACCTAATGACACTGAGGAATATTTAGAATTTAACACTTTAATATTTGATAAAAAATTTATCCTTTTTTTAAATTATTTTTAAGAAGCGACAGAAAATTGTAGATATACTTTATTTTAATTGTCGTACTTGATGTATAGATGTTGTAAATTTAATCGATATTGCATGAGATCTGGAAAGTTGCGTTAAATCGTCTCCACTTGCTATGCATTCGTGTCTGTTTGCTTATTTCAGGCTTCTGAGTAGTTGCATAGGATCGTGATGTCATAAGTGAAAGATAATATGTTGAAATTTCTTGCATGTTATTTGTAAGTAAAGAAAATTTGAATACAAAAGATAATAAGATCACTTTAAAGCACTTGTGAAAATGAATCGAAGCTATCCCTGCTTTATCCTTGTGACAATCAGTAAATGGTTGTAAAAATCACGTAAAAATAGGCTATGCATGCACATTGAATAAACACTGGTAAACGCACTTCACATGTCTTTTATGATTATTTACTGACTGTCAAGAGAGGTAAGTATAACTTCGGCCCATTTTTACGTATTTTAAAGCGATTTAAGTATTTTAAAGCGATTTTATTATATTTTGTTTTATCTAAATTCTCTCTCTTTATTTAAAAATAACATGCAAAAAATTTTAACGTATCATTTCTTGATTATCACGATCCAATGTGATTAATTATACTCAGGAACCTTAAAGAAGAATTAATTCACATGATCGCGATTATGATCCCACTTCTTTCAATTTCATTTTGATCTTCATTTATTTATCATTGATCATTAAAAGAGAAATAAAACCTCACGCAATTATTACGTCCTTACACGTGATTCCAATTGACAGCACTATTTAACAAAACAGACTTTTAGCATAAGATTGAAGATAAATTTCCCAGCTTTTGGAGCCATAAATACGATCGTATTTATCAAATTATTTATCATATCACAATTTTGGAAAGTGTGGAGTTGAAGTCACAAAAAAGCAACTTTAAGAGCAAAAATTTATTGCTATTTTAGCGCATTTTAGCATATCTAGAGACACGGAAATGTCTTGACATTAAACAAATACAGCGATGTCATGGACGCGAAACCAGCCGTATTCTTTTATGTGAGCCGGTTGTGATCGAGTCGGACCGAATTATTATATAACGATGTGTGACATATTAGAGAAGTTTCATTCCAAAATTAAATATATATTATTAGGAATATTTTCCTTAACAAGTAAATTTTTTTATTAAAAATTAAATTTTTATTTTGTCGATTATGATTAAAAAGATACTTATTATTAATATAGGATTTATTATCAAGTTGCGATTTATATATTGGCCATTAGGATCCATATTCAAAAGATCTATCAAAAAAGTATTTTTTTAAGGTCAATATACGGAATCCTTGGTACATTTACCTTTTTTAATTGTTATTCAAAAAGAGATTTTTAGATCACTAAATACTAATTTAATGTCAAAGAGAGTTAATAAAAATTTAACTTTATGTATCAATGCCTATATATAAATTATTTAAAAAATTCAAACATTTTTCAATTTTATCATTTGCTTTTTGATTTTATTTTAAGTTTATTAATGTTGATATTACGTTAATATTCAAGAATCTGAAGAATTTTTAAATGTGAATGATTAAAAAAATATTCGATAGATTTCTTTAATGATATACATAAGGCGCAATTATAATTCAATAGTCCCTATATTAATTACAAATACTTTTTGAAAAATGTAATTGCTGACGAATTTCTTTTAAAATATATTTAATGTTGATTGTAGTAAAACTTCTTTAACATATCGTAATTATAATTTACTATACAAAGTACTTTAAAAATCCTTCTTGCAATTTTTAACTGTAAATTTTTCAAAATTGTAATTGTGATAAAGTGATACACATCGTATTCAGTGCCCAAACTACGGGAAACGATTATTCTTTTTTTGTGTATTTTTTATTGAACTGTGTAATTACACATTCAGTATATAATTTAATAATTATTAGTAATTACTAATTACTGGTAAAGGGAAAATTAATAATTTCTTATTACTTATATCCACATTCATTTTTATTCGCATTGTTCTACTTTATTGACACTGCATGCCAACAAAGGGTGGAGAGACGCAATTAAAAAAACAAAATGGAAAAATATAAAATCAACGTCATTTATTGACAGTCCACCTTTCGTACATGTATCTAATTTTGCATGTATCTAGGCTCACACTCATAATGTTGTTCCCGTATATATATTACGTTTTTTTCTAGCATGGCATCTAAATTATTTGATATAGCATTTATTAATGCTTCTAGATGTTGCTCCTTCGAAATAAGATTTTTATTAAATATTTGCAAGTCAATAGTTACCTGTGCAATTTATTATAGATTAGAGGACGTATATCACTCTGAAGAAAAAACAAATATAATTTTTTTCTTTTTTTTTTTAAATCATGCTAGTATGTGTTTTTCGGTACTTGAAGTATAAAAACAAATACAAAAATGTTAGGATTTTAGCAGAATGCACAGTGGTTTTTTTTTATAGATGTGAATTCAAGATACTATAATAGATTATTGTTCTATAAATGTTTTTCTTTAAAGCGTTTCAATATTTGTCGAAAAGTAACTAGTTTTTATATATAAAAAAAAACAGTACTTCTAAAAGATTTAATAGGTTTATTAGAATATTAGCGAATTTTGAATAAATAAGTAGATTAGTAGCTAGGTAGTTATATCCAAGTTAGGATACTTGTGGCGGAACCAGCTTATTCACCACAGTTTTGACATTTGATGATGGCCAAGCCGAAGATGAAGAAAATAGCCTGCCGCACATGGACGGTTTCCAGAGTAAACTTCCACCAGGAATACTCCCCCATGGATTACCGCAAGTTAAGGAGGTTCAGCCTGCTGTTACACAGGTAGAGCAAGAGAAAGAGAAAGAGAAGCCTAAAAAAGAAGGTAAATTATAAATGTTTTATATCATTTCTGTTAATTGAAAAAAAATTGATCTTGATTTTTATTAATTCTATAGTACGGGAACTTAGTGAAGAAGAAAAGCAAATGATTATTCTATCGGAAGATTTTCAACGATTCCTCGATCGCACTAGCAGAATTGTAGAAAGAGCATTGAGCGAATCGGTTGATATCTACACCGATTATGCTGGCACTATGGACGGCGAAGATGGAATGTAAGTAGAAAACTAATTGAAAGATTTTTCACAATAAATTGTTCGCAGATTCTTATTAATGTCTGATTACTAATATTCTTATGAAGATGTTTATTAGCAAAAAAAGTATTAAACCAGAGTAGTTAATACCACTTTTATTAAATTGTTTGTCAATTTAATAGAAATGTTATCACTACTCTGGTTCTACTTATGATGGTTTGAAGATGAAAAAAGATTTTGGCGCGGAATTTGCAAAAATCAAATATGTATATAAATTTACACAGAAATAAATATTTAAGCTAAGATCCGTTTTGACCGAATAAAGAATTCTCGTACATTACATTAAAAGATTTTTTTGTTAATCTTCTTTTGTTTCTAAAGCAATATAGTTGCTTGAGATAGTAAATACGTTCTGCGATATAAGAATTCTGAATTTGTAGGGATGAGAAGAGTCATCAACGACTCTGGCTAAATCGCTCGTTCATCTGTGAGCGATGGTCTCGTAATCGTTGCGTGACCTCCATGGATTGGTCGCCGCAGTTCCCCGAGCTTTTAGCGGCTTCGTACAACAACAACGACGACACTCCGAATGATCCTGACGGTGTATGCCTAATCTGGAACACTAAATTCAAGAAAACAACTCCAGAGTTTATCTTTCACTGTCAGTCACCCGTTATGTCTACCACATTCGCCAGATTCCATCCAAACTTGATTCTGGGCGGCACCTACTCTGGTCAAATCGTATTATGGGACAATCGAGTACAAAAAAGGACTCCCATACAACGCACCCCCTTATCTGCCACTGCGCATACCGTTAGTTACTATTTTTTAACATAGTTTAATTAGCCAATTAGCTCTTGGCTTCTAAGCTTAGAGAATGAGGAAGTCATTATTTATTCTGCAGCATCCAGTATACTGCTTGAACGTCGTTGGAACGCAAAACGCACACAATCTGATTAGCATTTCAACAGACGGCAAATTGTGCTCGTGGAGTCTGGACATGCTGTCACAACCGCAAGAGGCATTAGAATTACACACAAAGCAATCGAAAGCGATCGCCGCTACGTGTTTGGCTTTTCCGCACGGCGATGTTAACAATTTCGTCATGGGAAGTGAGGACGGAACTGTTTACTCGGGTAAGTGTGGTTGTCCATGTACGTGAAAATTAAAGAATAAACTTTAAAAATTATTAACATTTTAACATTTTTGAATAGCCTGCCGGCACGGTAGCCGTGCTGGGTTGACGGAAACATACGAGGGTCATCAGGGACCAGTCACTGGCATTAGCGCACACGCGGTGCAAGGCGGTATAGACTTTTCCCATCTATTTCTGACATCCTCTCTTGACTGGACTATCAAACTCTGGAGTTTGAAAGAGAACAAGCCACTCTATTCTTTCGAGCATAACGGCGACTACGTTTATGACGTTGCTTGGTCTCCAACACATCCGGCGCTGTTCGCTGCTGTTGACGATTCGGGCAGATTGGATTTGTGGAATTTGAATCAGGATACGGAGGTACCCACCGCTAGCGTCGTTGTCGACGGATGTCCTGCTCTGAACAGGGTATCATGGACGCCAAGCGGATTGCATGTCACTGTCGGAGACGATACTGGTAAAATATGGGTATATGACGTCGCTGAGGTATGTATAGTGATATTTTGATGATTTGGCACTATTGCGTGCTGAAGCTTACATGTTGTACTTAATTTTTTGTTCAATACAGCATCTAGCTCATCCAAGAATTGATGAATGGAACAAATTCTTGTATACGCAACAGGATCTGAAGAATAATAAAGCGGATGAAGAATTGGATAAGCTTAACCTTAGTTCTGGACCGTCTTCGTTAACATCTATGACATCTATTTCATCAGTTCCTCTTAGATAAAAATTGATATAATTTAATTTGCTCTAGTAATTTAATTGCTCTAATTTTTTATTGCACTGATTACACTTACAATTGTATAAAGAGCAAGTAAAACTTATAAGTAAAACTTATAAGTAATGTAAGTGTAACAAACAAAATAAAAATAAAGGCAATAAGCGAGCGATTAATATACTAAAGATGTTAAAAATTAATTTATTATATTGTTTGATAAAAAGGACCGTATGCGTTTCAAACTTTTCTTCAGCGATGTTAACGTACACAATTTTTAAAATGAAAACGCAGAAAAAAATTAGAAAAAAATAGCGTAAACATTAGTTATTGAATCAGTTAGAATGTCGACAAGAGTCCAAATACCGTAAATCAGAACCATATAAGATGTTCGTTGTCGATGTCAAACAATTGTATTCGAATTCTTTGGTCAAAAGTATATGTTATCATATGATAATTAATAGAACGAATTGGATGATGTCATTTTCCCGTTCTTCAGCGAAAATGGTACGTCCAGATATTTTTTTGGCCATTGAAGTTATCAATACAAAGATGTGTCAGTCAAAAGATAAATTTTCCAGAATTCCAAGCAAGGAAAAAGTGATATAGAGTCGAATGTATGCATTGTACTAATGAGAATTTAGCTTCTTGTCTATAACGAGTCGCAATGTATGTCATAATCATATAAGATATAATCTGAAGAGATTCGGCTGATAATTTTATTGGATGTACTATTGAAAGATTAGTTAGTCGCTAATTTTCTATTCTTCGTTAATAGAAGTTAGCTATATCAAACTCTGCTTTAAAAATAAACATATTATTA